AGCAAGACGGGTTGACAGAAACTGGCAAAGCGCTTGGGATGCCTGTAGCAAGGGCCAGTGACGGGTATCGGAGCCTTCTCTTGTTTATTTTTTGAAGTCTTTTCTATTATTAGATTTCAGCATCTTTTTTTTTCTAAGGTGCCAGAATTTTCCTTTTTTAGAAGTCAGAATGAGGGCATGATGAGTAGTTTTAACGCAGAGGTTGCGTGTCATCGGTGGATTCTCTCCACGATGTGCATAAGTTAAGCAGTGTGGTTCGGGCTTAATTTGGTAACCCATTCCGTGGAAATGATTCTTGATTGATCAGTATGAAAAAGAAGGACTCTTAAGGAAAAGCGAGTTCTGAGCGTGCTGATCTGGCTCCAGGGTATTGGGGATTTAGTCCAGGTGGACGGTGAAGTCAGTGGTGGCAGGTCCTCAGTGGCCTCAGTGGTTCTGCTGACCTGCGGGTGCGCCGCGCGAGAGCGAGAAAGCCAGAGACACAGAGAGAGAGAGCGAGAGAGAGAGTGAAAGAGACAGTGAGAGAGCGAGAGCGCGCCAGGGCGGAGCTGGCTGGTGCAAGCGTCAGACCCAGACTGGCCCCCAGGCTGCCAGGGAGCCCGGAAGCCTGGTCCCCGCCCCGGCCCTGACACCCTTCGCGAAGGAGTCTGTTGGACGGCAGCTAGACGCGTGGATTGCTGGGTTCTCGGTGGCACAGAGCTGCCGCTGTGCCACCCAGGGTCGTGACTGGCGCTGTGGGGGCAGCCGGGCATTCGGCCGGTGCTTCCTTCACGCAGTGCGCAGAACAGAGCGGTGGCCTTTTGCTGCTTCTAGCTCGTGCTTGGGGGGAAGTGATCGCATGTCAGGGCCCAGCGTACACGGGCGCGCCCAAATCCGCTAACGCAGGCCGCTCCGGGGACTTCTTGCTGGGTGAGGTGGCCTGATCGTCCCTTCCTGTTCTTAAATTGCCAGTGAAGGCCGGCGAGACGGGTCTGGTCAGCAGTGGCCCAGACCGCAGCACTGCAGTCTCATTCCTGTCTTGCTTCTTACTTGTTTCAAGGTCTGTTTCAGTGCACGGCTGCTTCTGGTCTCCTCACGGTGTCTCTTGTTTACGTGCAGTTTTCTCAGCTGTTCAAGATACGTTCACGGGCTGCGAGGTCACACTGTCCCTTGTCCTGTGAGAGCCGCATCTGTCACTGCCTGGCGGCAAGCGTGGTCACACCACCCTGCTTCCCAGGGGGAAGAGCACAGAGTGGGCGTGGCGTCCGCCTGGGGAGCTTCCCTCAGGCAGGCCTTGAGCCCTCGAGCAGAGGGACGAGAAGTTCTCGAGAGCTTCGCCCTCTTCAGTTACTCGTCTCTGACCCAGACTCATGCCATGAGTTGCCCTCTGGCCTCAGTCTGTTCCGTAGGAGGCCCGCGGGGGAGCTTGGCAGCGGGGCGAATGCTGGTGTCTGCCTGGTCTCGCGCACTCGCCCTCTTCGCGCGACACGCGCGACACGCGCTCCCCGTGCCGTCCTGGCGGCACATGCCTGGTCGTGCGCAGCGCCCATGGGCGCTTCTCAGCGCTGCCCACGCGGTCGGCCTGGGAGGGGTGTCGTGCTTGTCTCCTTCGCTGTTAGGAAAAAGCTTTTTAGTGTCTCACCAGTGGACTTTGTCTCCCGCTTAACTTTTTTGTGGGACTAGTCAGTGAGTTGCTGGTATCAAAAGCCACTGAAGGCAGTGGCTTGGCCGTTTTCCTGAGGTGCTCGCTTTGGTGTGGTGTGGTACTCCCAGAATTCTTGGTTTTGGCGAGACCTCAAGGTTAACTTCCCAATGCGCTTTCTGCCCTGCCGTCTCACAGGCCCTGGCCTATTTTGAGCAGCTGAAGATCTCCCCAGATGCCTGGCAGGTATGTGCGGAAGCTCTAGCCCAGAGGACATACAGGTAATTAAACAAAATTTGCATGGCGCTTAAAAGATTTTGACAAGACTGTTGCATTTGTCTGTATTTGGAAACTGTTTTCATAAACCGTTCAGTGTAGAAGTGAGAAAAATAGTGGCCGCAGGGCTGCCCGCCGCAGGGCTGACCTCTCAGCGTGGGCCCGCGGCCGGGCGTTGCTGTGGCAGGACCCAGTGTCCGTCTAAGACTGTAGAGTGACAGACTGAACGGCTGCGC